TTCCAATGTTGCTGAGCTTGAGAAGCATGCTTATCCTGTGCTGGATGAATTGGCTCGGAACGTAAGCACCAAGAATCTTGAACGTGTGAGGAGCTTGAAAAGTAATCTCACCCGCTTGCTTGCTCGGGTGCAAAAGGTAATACACACTGGATTGAGCTATGCTTCTAATATCTTACAGTTGGAGGCCTTTCTATACAGTGATTGAAAGTATTTTCATATTACTTCTTGTCTAGTAGTCGTGTTATGATGAAGATGAAGTAGTATGTAATCATTGTGGAGTCATAGCCAAATTAATACCCACGAAAGAAGAGTATTAGCAAACTTATTTAATCTTTATCCTCTGTAGGATCTGTTTACAGATACACCTATATCATTTCTGTATTTGTATTCTGAAATCAGGGTATGAACTTCCCTACTCGAGTGCTTGCTGCTCTTGCTCTCATGGGGTTTATTTGGTTAGGATTGTATGTAGGTCACAGCACTTTTTTCTAGTTCACTGTCTTGTATTTCTCTTCTTGATGTGTTACTGAATGGAATGTTAGATACCTTTTGGACCTCTTGGATTTGCTTTTCAAATTCAATGTCTCCTAATGCTTGATTCATTCTGTCAATATAGCCAATACTCTCATGGAAAGTTGCCTTTTGAGTTCTTGGCAGTGCTATGGAGTGTGCTTGTGATATTTCTTTTGTTCGAGTACCTGTGCTGAATATTTTGTACCTTGTTCATTAATTGCCCACTTTGCCAGCACTTATATTTGGATTTTTCTTGGAAACTATCTTTCATGGAAGTTGCTTGGGATCAGACTATTTGGAAAGTCTCTCTTTCATGAAATTGCTAGGGATCAGGCTTTTGTTAAATGTCTTTTGCATTTCGCATGAATCTATTGTGTATTTCAAAGCCAAGGTAAAGGCTTTCTGCTGCAGCCTACAGGCCACTTTATTCGCTGCTTCTGAACTCAGCTGTCACATCATAGTGTCTTTGTCAATCGTCTTGGTCATAATCTTTGCTTGTATCCTTATTTTTCCAATTTTAATGGTAGATCATTCGACAAAAATATTAAAACGAGGTTTATCACTAATTATTACGTTCTTGGATGTGCACTACCTAGCCTGGCCTCAAGTAGTACAATGTTTGTGGTCAGTGGTCCCATCTTAATCTGCCTTTTAACCTATAATATACATGTAAGGATGCTACAGGTTAATGTTATGTTGGATTGCACATATATTTTTGTTAATTATCTTAATCAATAGCTTCTTGTCAACAATCCTCCATATTATCTTACTGCTGTATTGTTGTGTTCAGCTTCTGAATATCAATATATTAAGGTTTAAATCCTAATCTTTCAAGGTAAGAGATGAAATTGAGCATCTTTTGGATGATAATGAAGATATGGCTCATTTATATCTTACGAGGAAGTTGATTCAATATCAACAATCTGAAGCTTTGTTGAATTCAGCTGCTTCACATTCCATTGTCCCGTCACAACATGCTCTTCATCGGAACAGTTCTCATCGGAGTGGAAGTATAATGACCAGCAATTACTGGGATGATGATGTTGAAGATCTTGAGATGTTACTGGAGGCTTATTTTATGCAGCTGGATGGGACTAGGAACAAGATATTGTCTGTAAGTATTGCTCTATATGTGGAAGACCATAGCATTTTTTTTCACTTACATGCAATCATATTTATATATTTTGTTATCTTTTTTGGTGAAGTAATTTGTGTGCTGAGATAGGTATGCTAGCAAATATAATTTTACATGTGCTTTTGAGGGGATGTAAGGTTGTATCATGGTTTCATCTTGATTTTTCTGGTACCTGCGATTATTCTGCATGGTTCTCTCTCTCTCTTTTTTTCTTTTCTTTTCTGAGAGGGCGGGAGGGTATCATCACATTATTAGTTTATTTTGTGGTGCCTTAAATGTCTTGTGTTGCTCTTATAATCCATAAAGTATTTTACAGTCTCTTTTTAAACCATTAGGTATTGCTATTCTAAATAATATGGGAGTTGGGAATAATTCCAATATACAAGATAGCTAGGGAGGGGGTTGGGAATTTTGGTAAAGGCAATAAGACTTCAAGGATTATAGCTCTTTCTCTCCTACATATCAATTACAATTTACGAGGACAAAATATTCACAAATGATGTTGCTAACAAGAGGAGTATTAGGTGATTTTCTCTGTTTTTGACTAAAAGATGTCTGTAAAAGTAAAAATGGAGTCTGAAAATTGACGAAGTTACTCCACAGCTTAAGAATGAGATGGAAAAAAAGTTGGTGTATTTATCCTTGTTTTGGAGGTGGGGGGGAGGGGTCTCTAGTGGAGAAGCTCTTCATCTGTGTTACCCTATTGGTGGGAGGGAGGATATCATTAGGCCTAAATATCAAGCTGGTGTGCTTTGAGAAAATGAAAGACTGACAGACTGTTATAGCTGCGCTAAGAATTTTTTAATTTACTGTGGGGGCCGGGGGACAAGGAGAGTAGTGGGTTCCTTTTCTCACTGCATTTGCTGCTTATATGGCAGCATCATGTATGCTCTTTTGCATTTTACTGGTATGGATCTGGTGTGATTTACTCTGTAGGGATTTCTATTCAGCCTTTCTTTTTGGTAATTTGAATATTTCTTTGTTGGTTGGTTGGCTACTGTTGGATAGATCTAACATGAAGTGGCATGTTAGAGATATTATTATTTATTAAGGTGACATTTTGCAAATTTTTGTTTGTATTTGCTCGTCATTATTATGAATAATCAAATAAATACACCTATCTGTGCAACGGTTCCAAAAAGTATTAGTTTTTTTTTTTTTTTTTTTTTTTTTTTTTTTTTTTTTTTTTTTTGGGGGGGGGGGGGGGTGGGTGGGGGGAGGACAAGAGGAAGCATTTGACATTTGGTGTGATTAGACCTGTCAAAACCGAACAATGCTCGATTACCCCACTCAATACCGTACGCTACCTGATTCGAACCAACCTAGTAATCAAAGTTTCTTAAAATAATTATTTTATTAAATATTACATTTTGGCAATCGAGCATAAAATGTCCCGATTCAACCTGAATCCGAAATCAACCTGAATGAGTCTTGCCTGAGTCGAATTGACCAAGAATAATGTGATTGCTTCCTTTGGGAGTGATTAACGCATGATGAATTTGTTTCTTTATTGAATGTATGCTAAGTCTTGAACTACCATTTGATGAACCTCACAGTGGTGTCAGAGTCAGAATTATGGCAGACTAACACTAACTTAAATTATCTGTAATTTTCTCTTATCTCAGTTAAAATTGGACTGCTGAAAGTGCCAAATTGCTTAATTCTTTTGTCCTGAATTCTATTTCTTCCTTCTTGAGAATGATTCCCTGATGTGTTTGCGGGTCATTATGTTCTTTTAGTTATCTGATATCCATGTTTATGTTGCAGGTAAGGGAATACATTGACGATACGGAAGATTATGTGAATATCCAACTTGACAACCAGCGTAACGAACTTATTCAATTGCAGCTCAATCTGACAATTGCATCATTTGCTATAGCACTTGATACCCTTATAGCAGGATTTTTTGGCATGAATATACCATGTAGCCTATATAAAATAGATGGTATATTTGGCTACGTTATTGGAGGTGGCACTGCCTTTTCTTTTCTGATTTTTCTCCTCATTTTAGGATACGCCAGGTGGAAGAAGCTGCTTGGCTCCTGAGTCTTGACCCTGTTTACATTGTAATTGTTGTTAATGACCATAGAGCATAGTTATCTCAAGATAAATTGTCAATTTTAAATATTCCATCATGTGTATAGCATAAGAACTACCTTGATGAGGAAAATGAAACCTCTTACTGGATATCCGTCTCCGTCGAGCACTGAATTATTTGGAGGTTACAAGTCTGTTTATGATATATGCTGCAATTCTGTTGCCAATTTTTTTTAGTTGCTTAAGTTCTGTACTTCTCTTTAAATTTTTTCCATTGAACAGGGCTGGCACTAAAATCTATCGCAGGTGGATCTTTGTATTGACAGTAGATTCATTTTGCTCATTCTACTCAGTGGCATAATTTGTTCTGTTGAGAAAAGACAGTATAGGTCTAGTGACTAACCAAGATAACCAAAGATGAAAAAAAAGTCCTGCAACGATTCAGATAAGCGTCTTTCATTTTGGTTTTCGCCTTGATTTGTAAGTGCAGAATAGTTAGAAGCTAGAACGAACACATAAATCCAAGATGGTGTATAATTTTTCAACCATATGTTAAATTCACCTAATTTTCACTTGGTAGACCTTTAATACCAAATTTGATTTTTGGAAAATACGTATCCTTTTAATCCAATATCAGTCTAAATTTATAAATTACCAAAACTGACCTATACTCAATTAGTCAATACCCAACTTGAAACACGAACTTTACCCAAAATCACTTGGCTCAATTTGATCAGACCTGAATGACTTGATTATAAATGTTACTACTACTTATAATGATTAACAAAGCATATAGGCTATAAAAATGAACCAACCAACCCAAAATCAGGCTAAACGAGTCTTACCCGAATTAACCCAATTTAAATTGATCCGAACGACCAAATTGCCACCTCTAGAAATGAATGGAAAGATGGACACAATGGGACCTTATATTTAAACATTGATATGTAGTATTCCAGTGATAAAATCCTCAAAGACTTGGTATTTTTTAATCAAATATCACCTACACAGATCCTTATAACAAACTGATCTTAACAACAGGACTTGAGACCAGATATGTACTTATGTGTTAGTTTCTTAAATGAACATTAAAAACTTGCATATAGAATAGTCACAGCATCCAAATTAAGGTACACAGGCCTATTGAACCTCGAGGCACAGCCGCACAGGTTGTTTCCAAGCTAATTTCTGTTCTTGAAAACACAGATTACGCTTCAAAAAACCTGAGTCAAAAAATTTGTCATAGCCAAACAGTAACACCAAAAAAAAAGAAGGGGGGGGAGGGGGGGAGAAGGAAGACAAAACAGACCAAGCCTCAAACAAGAACTACTTTAACTGCACATTAAACAATTTACATCTAAATAACAAGGATGAATTGTCAGTAAAAATGCTCATTAGTCATTATAGAGCTGTTTCACCAATGATGCATTACAAGTAACCTGCAATACATACTCTTACAGGTAACATTCCCATATCCACTCCTGCTTTTCTGCAAGGTTCTACATCTGACAATTGCTATGCGCAAAAGGCAAAAACAATGGGATAAACAAATTCTTAAATTAGTGATTGCTACATCACACGAGACAAATACCCTCCCCTTAACCACCTCAGGCAAGACATCCCTGGGAAAAAGAATTTCCTTCCATTCCAGTGATGGCCACCAGGTGCACAAAACAATAATAATTCAATGAAAATGAAAACTGAAAGAAGAAATTAGGTTATCTGAGCTGCGGGCCACCTTGACGTCAAAAGGGACCGATCCTGCAGCAGAAATGACAGCTAAACAAGCTTGGCATCAGTGATTGAAGGACACAAAGCACATATAAATTCCTCTGACAATCCCAAGGTTCAAATACCAACTGGACCACTGAAGGAGTCAGGCCCTGAACTAGACTCCTTATGCTTTAAATTGAGATTTGCAAACTGCGAATCAAGATCTCTGCTATTTGTACGTCTGTGGCTAGATGACGGCCGCTGAAGTGGCTGGTGTGGCTGCTGCTGCTGCTGTTGGTACAAAGCCCGAAGACGGCCTATTTCTCTTTCCAAAACTTCATGCTCCACTGAAACCAACATGAACTCTCTTAGCACTATTTAACTCAATTCTCATTGATAACAGCAATAAGCAATTACATGGCACAGCACAGAAAACGGATAACAGGGAGCTCCAGAGAAACTTCAAATTTTACAGTCATACAAAGATACATAACAGCTATTAGCAAGATATGACACATAATCCCAAAACAGCAAGCTTCTTTATTATGAGGGCAATACTTTTCAGTAAAGGCTGTACTATATTTTTTTTTTTTATAAATTCACCAGAGAAAGAGCCAAAGTGATGAAAGGGATTTCAAAAATTTAGCAGTATCAGCATGAAAGATCTTATCAGAAGATATCAAAGCAAGATTCAACATTCATGAATTTATCAAAGTCCTCTATACCAGTAGACAAGCCTCAAAGAAATGTATAATGTGACATCAAATGGTAGCATCTTGGATGGTTTGACCCACAATATGTGAGAGGGGTTGGCAATTTGGCACACTACATCATGCATTTGATTTTCTACTATCATAGCAGCTAAAAATCTCTCCCATAACTGATACAAGTCCAATGGAATCATTCAGCATGTCGTTATCACTGTGACCCCAAGGACCCACTAATTCAACGAATAATTCAACCCCACTCCAATGAGTGATTTATTAAAAAAAAAAGTAATAAGAGGATTTTCCTAGTATACAAGCATCAAGCTTCTGACTGCTTTCCAGACAATCAAGCATCACCAGAAAACAGAGACAAGACTAGGTTAACATAAAGATGGCCTAGCTGAAGCAGCTTGTCAGACAATCACAATCTAGAGTCCTAGTGTCCACATCCTTGACATCACCATATTACAAAAGAGAGCTTATGTATCTTCAAAATAGTTGACAACACTTACGGTATTTGATGAGCTTCTCCTGGGCCAAGCTTTCCAAACGTTGCTTAAGAGCTTTATTCTCCATGCTTAGGATTAGATTCTGTTGATTGAGAAACTCAAGCTCTGCTGAAACTTCAGACCCCTCTGCCTGTAAAATTAGACAAGAAAATATAAAACCAGTGGCCTTTGACCTATCATTTCCTTTCCCATAATTGAGCAGGAGAGGGGAAAAAAAAGGATTGATTCGGTAAATTACTAAACAAAAACTTGCCTGTAATGCCTGTACATTATTTTCCAGCTCAGCTATGTACTGAAGCTTCCGAACCCTCGAACGTTGAGCAAATTGCCTACATTAAGAAAAGTTCAGAAAAAAATTCTTGTTCTCAAAATAACAGTCAAATTAGCAGCTACCAGACATCTAATCAGCTTGTTTAATTCATGTCACCATTGTGGCATAAGGATCATTTAGTAACTCGAATAGGTGCACACTGCTCAATGTTGGAAGAGGCTTCCATTATTATCACTCTTATCACATTAAAGCAATTGATGGTAAAAAAATTACAAAGCTATGAACATTGGAAAGTAGATATTAAATAAAAGAAAGGAAACTAAAAGAAAGATTACAGAGCCTCAACTATCTCTAGTCTCGAGTTTTGACCATCTGATGTACTGAGTAGACAGATTTCTCTTTATGAACAGCTACTCAAATATTACGTTAGAATAGTCCTTTTCATTTGATTATAAAAAAAAAAATAAAACACCCTGTAAGGGTCAGTCATCTACATGAGGGCAAGCAAAAGGTTCATCATCAAAGATCTACACATAGTTCCTAGCAACTAACATTGTCTATGGTTCTTATCTTTTTTAGGTAGGGGAATATCACGATAACAATAATCTTGTGCAAAAGAAGAACCTTCACCAAAGCACATACCAAACAATAAATCAAACTTAATCAGTCATGTAAAACAACGGAAAATTGTTTGAGGTCACAGATCAATAGATCACCAGACGATAAATGAAGAACTTTCACATATCTTCAGCTATGTAATTACGCAAGCAATAGGAGGTTCAGCATGTTACATAAGAAATAGGCGGCACTATAAAGTAGAATCTACAAGGGAACAGGGAATATAAATTATTAAAAAAATGGTTATCAATCTACAAGGAACTTAGCACAAAACCTAGATTTAAGAATGATAACGTGAACAATTCAATGTTACTTTTTGAGTTTCTTTCTTCTTTCTCCTTTCAACTTAGGGGCATGAGAAGAGGCATATAAGGGTGTTTATAAACAAACCCCCCCCCCCCCCCCACCCCCCAAACAAAACAAAAAAATAAAAGAGACAAAAAAGGGTAAGAACTGATAACTACAGTCGGTAACAATTATTAATGAGTTAGAGGCTTACTGCTTAGCACGTTTAGTATCATTTTCAGATGGAGTTTTGGCATGGGAACCATCTTTCTTTTCAAAAGAAGTTCTGAGATCATGAGAACCAGAGTCACTTTGGTCTTGCTTCTCAGCTGGAACTGGATCTGCTTCAAGTGGAGCAGCAGACCCTCCTACACTTTGGGTAACGGCGTTATCCCTTGATAAACGCAAGCCACTGGCATGATTTGCAGGAGCCAATTTCATTTCCATTGCCTTGTTCTTACGTTTCCCATAAAAGTTAAGGTCATGATAGAGTGACCCTTGAGGAGTTTCTTTGCTATGATCAAAGTTTTGTGATCCCCATAATGGAGCAGATACCATAGGTCTGAACTTGCTTTGGATGTTTTCATCATGTGACACCGTCATTGGTGCCATATAATCCATGCTGGGCATACTGCCAGCATCACAATAAGCAAAAGAATCACTTGATGAACGACGATGACCTTTGCGTACAGGGGTCTCTGGCTCATTCAAAAGATCATCCAACCAAGAAGGCTGCTCATCTAAAAGGCTCTCTGACGAAGTTCTTTGATGATAAGCATTTCCATCTCTGCACTTTGAGGTAGGTTTTGAACCCAAACTGGTATTGGGTCCATAATCAGAGTAAGATGAGGTTATGCTGGGAAATGGACATTTAGGGGGAAGTAGAGAGTTCTTCCCATTCTGCATCAGGTTTCTGAAATTTGCAGGCCCTTTGGGATTTGACATATCCTAGGTGCAACAATTACCTACAAAGTAATAGCTTTGTTAGATGATCAATATATGAAATTTCTTTGGGAGAAGAAAGAATAATTGAATCAGCTCATAATAGTTAAGAATCAAAGAATGCCAAATGAATTAAAAAATCATTCTACAGAGTTTAGCATTCAACAACTGCAGCAGTGTCTCTTTTATTCTGCATATTCCACATAATTTCACAAGTGTAGAACCAAGTAATATCCATATATGAATTCAAAGTAGCTGATACACAATAGCCCATTATTTGCGTAATAGCCACTGCTTCAATGCGCATCATTAGTTTAAATCATGCTGTCAACCACTTTGTCATTACAGCATCACTCCTTTTGCATCACAGAAGTAGGAAACACTACACTCAAATTTCATCTCTACCACTAGAATCCTCCTATCTTCCAAAATCAACAAGATAAACCTTATAGGCTTAAAAGGTATATTAACAGGTATTCCTTATACGTCCCTAAATAATAGGCCATATTAGATTGAAGATCAATTTTAAGGAACTGGGTTGTATTACCATGGCGATCCTTCTTTTTGTAAGTTTTTAAATCATTACCATGCCACATACTTAGTTTTATCATATGGATAATTAAAAGTTTTTAAACTAAACCTATATAGTTTATTACAATCCAAGAGTAGAATGTGATCTACTATTTAGGGATGGAAGAAATCTAATACAAAATTCACATGGCTTATAGTTGAAGTTTGAATTCTCATATTTGTCAAGCCTAGAAGCTACAGCTGCAACTTAATACAGAGACACCACTGTTTGCAATTCAAAGATTATCAAACAGCCAACAAAAAATTTGTTTTTATGAAAAATACAATTGGTAGATTTCTAACACTCACCAATCAACTTCAAGCTTCAGATAAATACTCAAATCATTATAACACTAAACTAAAATCACAATCAAATTTCAATATTGCATGTCAGGTAAACCTTTTTGAAGAACATGTTAGGCTTAAAAGTAGTAGCACTGCTTGAGTGGCAGGCTCCAATTGAAAGGAACCGCACATAGAGTGTTCCATTTGGATAGTGAGTTGTTTTTATAATAATAAGTCAAGTCAAGGCATGTGTAAAAAAAATCGAAGACCCCAGAATAGACGCACAACGCGATAAAGCATTCGCATCCCTTAACAATTTTTCCATTAATGAAACACCAACATAATCCCACCAGTCCATTACAATTATCAAAAAGTGTACTCGTACTATATTATCAGAATTTCAACATAAACTCTTCATTTTTATATCTGAAAGAGAGTCTTCAACATGGTTTTCCAAAGCTGATAGGCGTTTAAATCCGTGAGACCATCGATGATCAACATCAAACAAATGTTTGAGTAACAACTATTACTAAACAATCAACTAAAAGGCTGAATTTCACAGCTTATCGACACGAAACGCCTTTAATTCACTCCTGTAACTTCTGGTAAACCCATAATTGACCCATAAAATTCTTTCTCCTCGAAACAAGCTCAATTAAACAATTGAAATCAATTCCACCACCACAATTCATCATTTTACGGTTCTTGGCACTATAAATCCTACAATATCCCTAAAATTAAGCCAAAAAAATGACCTAAATTCAAATTCCATAACACAAGTTTCCAAGTGCTTAAGTTTCTAAATTTGCAAAACTCAACTATTTTCTAAAGATAAGCTGATAATACAACCTACATTATCAATAAAACAGTTGAAAAAGCTGAAGAACAAAAAAAAAAACTGCGAGATAACGCTAAATACCTGGAAGAAAAGATTCCGATTAAGCAAATAAATAAATTGTTAGCGAGGAGCTAGGGTTAGGACGATTATGATAGATTATCGGAAAACGCCCAAAACTCGAATTCCAGAAGATTCCACGAATATTCCAACGGAGCTAAGATTAAGCTCGCCGGAGATTCCGTCGGAGGTTAAGAATAATGAAAGAAGAGAGAGAAAATCGCCGGAAAATTTGAGAGTTGCAGATCTGAGTAAATTTACAGAGAAGTTGAACTGAAGAAGACGAAGAAGAAGAGAGAGAAAATGAAGATTTAGCTGAGAAAGAAGTTTACCCAGAAGAATAAGCGTCGAAAGTCAGGCGCCGGAAAAATAGTCGCCGGAAAAGTAGAGTTAGAGAGAGAAAGTGGAATAGAGAGAGTGTGTGTTTGGGAGGAGAGAGAAAGAGGTTCTTTGTGTTTTTGGGGAGAGGGTGAGCTTTTTTTTTTTTTTTTTTTTTTTTTCGGGTATGGGGTTTTAGCTCGTGATATTTTGATTAGATTATGATATTTTTGGTCGATTTTGTATTAATTGCAACATTTGCTTAGCGAATTAAAGCATAAATTGAAAAAAATTGTCAAGTTTGGACTAATGAGGAGATAATCGGTAGGAGATAATTGTTAGTGGAAAAAAGAATAATAAAATAAATTAGTTTAAATGGAAGATTAATACAATAATTTTGGGTCCTTTTTCGAATTAAAAAGAGATGCAAGTGAGAGAAAGGAATGAAAAAGAGAAGTGTTATAATTTAACAGATATAGAGAGAATAGTTATATAATGCATAAACATTACTTGTACGAAGTATTATAAATGTTACTTATGTGTCTATAGTGATGTTCAAACTATATGTTTCTATTTTTAGCTTCTTATATTATTGTTATACATAGCCAAAAAAAAAAAAAAAGAGAATATTATTCATGTTTTTAATCTGTGTAGGGACCATAGTAACTAGTGTGAGTCAATCTAGGCTGTACATATTGTTATCTAACGGCTGGAATTAAATTAATTATTTTTAAAAAAAACAGGCGCCATTAAAAATAGTAAAACCTCGATAAGATTGGTCATTTGCAACAATTGCAAGCTGTCAGAATGTTTTGCAAATAAAAATTCCTATAAAAAAAGCTTTAAAAAAATGGAGTAGTATTTAATTTACAACTAATAGTAGGAGTATTAATAATTAATAATAATAAAATAAAAAAGGCTTTAATACTAGCATGACTCTGTCACTATCTTCTGACAATTCCTGCTAATAATTTGGTTTGGTTTTCCAACTTCCTTAGAAACTCAACAATTATTTGGTCATTGCCAGTTGCACTTCCCACTTGTGTTGATTTACTGTTGCTTTAGATCTCCACAAGAACACAACCCCTTTATCCTTTTTATAGTGCAAAGAGGTTTTTGATTTATGAATTTAAATATGTACGTTTTTCATTCGAGAATACCTAATTTAAAGTATATTTAATCACAAGTTTTAATTGTTCAGTGTACTTTTCGGAATATGAAGTCACTAAATTCACATTATAGTTATACAGAGTATGTAGTAATTTTTTGGAAGCCTGAAGTAAATGATGTTATATGGGTTTAGATTGGTATTAATTTAAGCTCAATTATAACAAGGTATATTGACTTTTTAAGCTTAGTTGAAGGAGGTAGGTGAGCTCATTTTCTGCTATGTTTATTTAGTTAAAGTAAATATTGGCTGTTAGCTGTTTATTTATGTGACGCTTTCATTTAGTAATTACTATCTCACTTTAAGTTTCTATATTACTATTACTGAGGCATTGACTTTTTACACGTTGACTTGTATAGTTGTCTTTGTATATTGATTCAAAGACGCACTTTCTTTGGAACCAAAAAGCATCAAAGATTTAAGGAATAAATTAATGAGGGAAACCGCCAAAAGAATAGATAAAAAATATAGGGTGGTGGATTAGTGGTGGTAGATGTTGTGAGGTGAGAGTGTATTAGACTAGCCAAAATTGACCGTAAAAAAGACGGAGAAACGCAGCCTTTATAGCAAAAGTGTCCGAATAAAGGTGGAAATGAGCACAACCAATTCCTGTTTTTAATGAGACCTGACCAACCCCTGTTTTAATGGAGTAACACTCAACCAACCCAACCTTAAAGTCTTCAAGGCGGTGTTTGAAAGAGACGACGGAAGAGGTTATACATTTTTACTTAACTGCTGAAGACTGTCGGATATGCTGATTAGTTGTTTCTGGTTAATCTGAGTTACAGATGATCTTTAATCTCCATTCTGTATCAGTTTTATTATAGCACTTGTTAGTTCAGTAACTAAACCATTATAAGTTTAAAGCCAAGGCAATACATATCTACTCGTATAAATCAAACGCAGATGAGGTTGAAGTTCATGCAAGAACGAGGCATAACAACCGATGCCATATCTTACATGCTTTACTGAAAGAATGAAGTTAACCTTCCACTTTATGAGTAATGAAAATAGTGAACATGTAACAGTTTTGCATAATTAGATACAATTGAGTAATCCCCCCCCAAAAATATAAAGGCCAATCCTTATGGTATTCATGCTATACAATACAACACCCCAATTCTCACAAAATCTCTTCCAAATTAGTTGGAATTATGCTACAAGTGACTAGTATTGAATTCCTAAGGGTAACAATTAGTATACATCAATACAGTTCTAATCAAGCGAGGATGTAGATTCTTCTTGAGACACTCAGAACTTTTGAAATGCTTATACTTGCAGGAATTTGCGGAGTTGTGAGATTGATACTACATTCTCATGGATGAAAAGCTTGATACAGACACTGGTTGAAATGATCACGCAACACCCATTTGTGGACTTAACATCTGAATCTGTGTTACATATACAGGTATAAATAGAGCATGAATTTGCAAGAATTGTGAAGGAGGATAAAACTTTCAAAAAAAACAAGGCTGAGAGTACCTTGTTGACAAGTAAATTGACTTGTTCTCTGTACATTTCTTTCAAGTCCACGATATCAGCACGAAGTTCTTCCAGCTAAACAGCAAAAAACAGTTACAATAAGCACTTTCCGTATATGTATTAAAAAAACATGTGACGGAGAAAAATGACTTGTAGGGGGGGGGGGGGTGGTGGGCGGCAGAGTGGCATCTATCCAAAATATGCAGATAGAGAAAATGGGCAGAAATCAAGCCAGAAGCTCATTTCCTACTTGAAACTGTAGTAGGCTGCTCAAACTCAGGCCAGCATAAATCATGCTATTTCTAGCATTATCTTTCAATACAATAGGCCCAGAACACTAGACTGCTCAATGCTCAATCCTTGATGGTAGCTTCAGCATGATTGTCAAGTAGATCTCTAGGGATAGTAATTAAGTAGTCTATAACAATACCACAATGCTATATACAACTTTACTACTCATCAAAAAAAATTAGTAAGGTTAATTCTGATAGGTAGCTAGAAGGTATTCTAGCAAAAGTAGCAATCTGTTCGAAAAATAATAAGTAAATAAATAACCTACAAAGTTTAAACTGTATCACAGGCAATGAACTATAGAAGGTCAATTTTGATGCAGCAATAAAATAAAATAAAAATTGATAGACCTTTAAGTTTTTTTTTATTTTCATCAACCAAGGACAAAAATTTACTCTTAGCATCAAACTGGTTTTGCAGTTCTTTTATCAACTAAGTCTTAGCCAGTCCAGAGAGTGTGAATATAGAAATGTTACTGTCTACTTCATATTGTTTTACTTTCAAAGCTTTTGAATAAGACTTTTGTGAAAATTTTCAAATAGCGGTTTTGTCAATTCAAATTGCTAAAACTCTTTCATATCGTTTTGATTTTTTAAAGTTATTCTTGAACTATCTTTTGGACTATGTCATAAACAAAATTAATAATTATTACATATAAGTTGTATTTTGAAACTTTTACTAAAAACTAAAATTTAACATTGTCAACAAATAGCATATTTGTAGCAAACTAATAAGCTTGTTTAGTAAAACTATTAATCGATAATTGAGGGCTTATTTGACAAGTGAATTTAAAACATGTTTGGTTAAATTAGAAGTTGGCAATTAGCTGTTACTCTGTCAGTTCATGATAATTAGATAAATCACACACTTTTGTTTGTACTCCCTCTTTTCTTTTTTTTGTTCTACTCATTTACAACTTTTTCCCATTCTTTTTTGTTTTAGTCACTTTGTTTTATAATATTTTAGGCATACCCCATATACCATCTCCCCCCCCCCCCACCCTCTTTTTATTAAAATTGACTCAGTGGAAACAAAATTTAACTGCTCAACTGAAACCAGAGTCACTGACCAAAATCCACTAGATCAATCTAAAAGATAGATACATTCTTTGGCAGGGAGCAAGTGTTCAGAATCCATGCTATATACTTTTACTAGAATGTTCTTGAACCAATTCTCTCCCAACACATGAGGGGAGATGATTCAAAAGGTCAAATATTCAAGCTATAGCATACCTAAGCTGGCAAAATTCAGAGTTAATGTCTTGGAATGAGCGGGCTGGTAAACTGACTCACTAAGGCCTTTTCCAAACAGTTCATCACACCATATGAAATTACATTAAGGACGTCGCATCAATGAAAAAAGAATCATTCTGATAATGATAGTGTCACTTAACAAGTAAAGGAAAAATCTAGATAACAATCACTACAGCACATATCTCCTTACTGCACTAAAGTAGCATAATTAACATACCTCCTCATCACGTTCACCCATCAGCTCCAGAGCAGCAGTATGTCTCCTTCTCAGAGACTCTAGCTCTGCCCGTATGCTGGGCAACATAGAAGCTTCACTCCGCAATTTCTCACACTACAAAGCAGATAAACTAAGTAAGCAAGACAACACATGAACCCATAATGTGTTTGTGGAAGAACAGTTGAACAAACCTGCTCAGTCATTTTAACCAGTTCTTCAGCAAGTGAGTCCCGTATAGATTCCAATGAAGCCTATAAGTACACAAAAACTTAGAATTTAGAAATCAGGGAAAACTATACATAAGGACTGGTGCAGCCATTAAGTTATTTCACTCTCGTGGTTTCTACCTACCAATGCTGATTATCATCATTTGATCCATAAATTGGCAAATTGAGAGTTCTTCTCTAATAATATAATCATTAAAAAGTAAGAAGATCAAACATGTCACCACAGTGACGAGGGCTTTTATCTTCAAAATTTCTAGATGGATAGGTTATAAGTGATGCACATGAGAAACAATTCATCATAATTTTAAAATTCTTTAAGGATTCCAGCTTCAGATCACGAAGCTGTTGGGAACAAGATTATTAGTAGAACTCAACATGCTATGAAGTGACCAAATTCTACCATTTAATATTCTTGTGTTGATAACATCAATGGGATCCTGACCATGAGAACAGCAAATATTTCTTTAGTTGAGACTTTTTATACATTCAAATTCGTACTCAAGTACCCAAGACAATAGTACAAACTTTATTTTTTATCCAAAAAAAAAAAAAAAAAAAGACTATAGTACGTACTTAAAAAAGTTGGCTCTTGAAGTCAAAACGGCATTAAAACATACCAAGCGAGACATATATGATGCAAGTTCTCCCTCCTTTTGTCGAAGGGCGGCTTCAAAGGCACTAGGCGTCATGCTCTTCAAGTAATAAGGACTCATGGTAGCCTCTCCAGAATTTCTCCACTCTAGGAAAGAGGAGGAAGAGTCTAGAGAAGCTTGCAAGAAGAAGCTTTCTTCCATATTACCCACACTGCTGGCGCTTGAAAGTTTACGTGTTAAGTTCCCTGTAGATGTAAATTATATTAGAAAAAAT